TATCTACAGACGCCGTATGAACTCCATAGTTGTCAGTGCACGTAAACACAAATTAGACAATAGGTGGGTTGTACCCTACAGTCCATATCTATTAGCTAAATTTGATTGTCATATCAACGTGGAAGTTTGTGCGGGGATAAAGAGTGTGAAATATATATACAAATATATATACAAAGGCCATGATAGAATTGCTATTAACCTCTCCGCCGAAAATGACGCCAAAGTGGTTGATGAAATTGAGGAGTATCAAAAGGCACGTTGGGTATCACCCCCCGAGGCAGCATGGAGAATCTACAGCTTTCCTCTCTCGGAAATTAAACCGTCTGTTATACACTTGCCGGTGCACTTAGAAAATTATCAGTACATGAGATTTGACAAACGGCAAGATATAACGGAAATTGTAGAATATGAGCAGAACTCTCAAACGATGCTGACTCAATTCTTTTCCATGAATCGCATCGATGAAACAGCCGCCAGGTTGAACCTCCTATACATCCACTTTCCCGAGTATTACGTATGGTCAACCAAAGATAAAAAGTGGCACCCAAGACAAAAACGGGAGGTTATAGGACGACTTGTGAGTGTGAATCCAACCGAAGGGGAGAGGTACTATTTGAGAATTTTGTTGATGAATGTGAAATCACCGCAGTCATATGAGCATATAAAAACAATTGGTCAATACACTGCTGCCACGTTTAGAGAAGCCGCCGAGAAACTTGGGTTGTTACAATGTAACCAAGACATCGAACACTGTCTTGAAGAGGCCACGTGTTGGCAAATGCCATCCACTTTTCGCAGGCTGTTTGCGACAGTCTTGTCTTTTTGTGATGTTGCTAACCCAAAGGCGCTGTGGCTTCAGTTCAAGGCACACCTTTGTGAAGACCTGATCAGAACTTGTCCAGATATATCTCAGGCGGAACACAAATGCCTACTGTATTTAAATGACCTTCTCTTGTGCCTAGGGAAAAATATCAATGACCTTGCAATTGTTTCATATCATGTTGGCATTACAAAAGAGCAACGAGTTCAAAAAGAAATCCAGGCAGAGAGAAGTCTGTTGCCAACGGATTCTGATATTGCCGCGATTGCAAAAATGAACACCGGCCAGAAGTCCGCATTCGACACTATAATCAAGCGTGTTTACTCTGACAAAGGCGGGACATTTTTTGTCGATGGCCCGGGGGGCACCGGCAAGACTTTCCTGTATAGGTGTCTTTTAGCAAAGGTCCGGTCGAATCATGATATTGCCCTTGCCACAGCAACTTCAGGAGTTGCTGCATCTCTATTGCCGGGTGGCCGAACAGCACATTCACGGTTCAAAATCCCAATTAATGTGGAAGACAAATTTGTTTGCAACATAGGAAAGCAAAGCGCAGAAGCATCATTAATACGTGATTGCAAACTAATTTTATGGGATGAGGCTACGATGGCAAATCGGAGAACTGTAGAGAATGTGGAGACGACTTTGCGGGATATCACAAATTGTGAAAAACTCTTTGGGGACAAGGTCGTGGTTTTTGGCGGGGATTTCCGGCAAACATTGCCTGTGATTAGATCCGGCAGAAAGAAAGATTTTATTGAAGCGAGCTTGGTCAATTCTCATATCATATGGCCCTTCACTGAAAGGTTAGTCTTAACCGAAAACATGAGAGCGATATCTGATCCGGGCTTCAGTGATTACTTAATGAGAGTAGGCAATGGAATTGAAACATATGTTTCCGACTCAACAATTGCTATTCCACGTCATTTTCTCATTCCTTACACCAGCGATGACGAGTCCTTGAATGCACTAATACACCATGTGTATCCTGATATGTCAAAGTTTTGTGACGACCCGTACCCATTGATGCGCCGGGGTATCCTTACCCCAAAAAATGAGTATGTCGAGAACTTGAATGGCATATTAATCCATCGATTGCCTGGGGAAGAGCGGTGCTACGTTAGCTACGATGAGTTGCTCGATTCAAGCACATACAATGAATACGGTGATTTCCTAAACACAATTTGCCTACCCGGTTTACCCCCCCACAAATTGGTACTGAAGAAAAACTGTCCGGTGATTTTGCTTAGGAATCTAAACCCGGCCGAGGGCCTATGCAACGGCACGCGTTTGATATGCCACGAATTTCGTGACCATGTGATTAGTTGTTCCATAGCATCCGGTGAGCATGTGGGAAAACATGTGTTCCTGCCAAAAATACCTCTCCAACCATCAAGCGATGACAACTGCCCCATACCATTTAAGCGTTATCAATTTCCTATCAAACTATGCTTTGCCATGACGATAAATAAGTCTCAAGGGCAAACATTTGACTACGTCGGCGTATACCTAAGGGAACCGGTTTTCTCGCACGGGCAACTGTACGTTGCAATGTCAAGAGCGCAACGAGCAGAATGTTTAAAAATACTTATCTGCAACAAAGATCGCCCATGCGAACCAAATTGGACACACAATATAGTGTATCAAGAAATATTAAATAACGCTAGCCAATGTACAGTGAACAAAGGTGAACCATTCAAATTACAATCACACTTTCCCCATATTCATTTATATCTATATATATACACACATATCTTTACGTTAACCAAATACGTATTCTATTTTCAGGACCTGTTCAATGGCAACAATGCACCGATTAGTTGATGTGACGCCTGAAACACCCATGTGGACATGTGAGGTTCGTGTCGCTCATAAGTCTGCACCTAAGCATAACACAACAACTGGGAAGAAACACCTACATATGTTCCTTGAGGATAAGGAAGTAAGTCATATCTTATAAAGTGCTTAATTGCTTATGATTGTAAATAAACCAAATGTAAATGCTTCTTCCTCGCTGCACTGCCACGTACTTTACAAAATTTTCATGAAAAATTACTCCACATTTACTTTTTATGAAATATGATTACTTGATTAGTAGTTGCAATAAACAAACTTCACAAGATTCTTGGCAGTAGGAAAGAAAACAGACGAGAAATAATAACATAATAAAAATAAACCAAAGAAACATTTTATTTATTTGTGTTTGCTTCCTCCTCTTGTTTGTATCTAAAAAGGGAACTAAATAGCCTCTTTTGTCTGGATTTTCGTCACTAGACGTAATTTGTCTGCTCTATGAAATGGTTCTCCAGTTGGGAAATGAGATGAAATTTCAAACTTCTTATTTGGTATACCTTATTTGTGATATTCAAAAGTAAATTGTTTCTCCAAGATCAAATTTGTTTATGCATGTAAAGGGTTATATTGAAAAAAAAACTAAACAATAGGTAAAACTTATAAAAATTCGTATAAATTTGAAAAGCATAGATATAACAATATAAAGGTACTAAAAATGCCAAAGTAGGTAAAATAAAAAAAGAAAAAATTATGTGAAAGTGTTAAAAATAAAATAAAAAAGTAAAAACTTTACAAAAAGTGTAGAATATACAAATAATTCAAAGTGCAAAAAATATAAATCTTGACATTCTCTTTTTACAGTTTTTTATTTGTATTTTTCAAACTTTAACAATATTTTTAGTTTTTTTTTCCAAAAAATAGATCCGCTATAACAAATTAAAGACATTTTTGAATTTCTTAATTGATATATTTTAAAAAAACATATTAATATGATATTTCTTAGTATGAGTGCTTAATTAAGTTGTGGATTGCAGTAAAAGGGTTTGTTTGGACGTTTTTCCTCGTAATAATTATAAACGGAGTATATACTCACTCCTGGTGCGTTTTAAAAGTAGGTTGAAAGAAAGTGAAAGTTTTATATATAATCGATATATGTTAAATTTCAATGTTTTTTCATATTGGTTTGCAATGTCAGCTGAGGTTTTCATTGAGTGATATGATGGTCAATTATAAAAAATGATGATTTCTACACAATTACACGTTCTTTAAGGCCCTAGCATCACGGGACAATTAATTGAGATGATGTTATTACTATAATTTAAACTTTAAATATAATTATAATCACCAATAGTTACTAACTAAAATTTTTGTTCATAACTTTTTTATAAGTTCTCCCTCCGTCCCATTTTAGTTAGTCAAACTTAACTTTTCAACTAAATGGCCTCTAACTTTGACCGATTATGAAATGTCCATGTTGTGTTTTTGTGATTTTTAATGCTTAAAATATTTACAGGGCATACGCATTTCAGCCATGGTGTTTGACCATGACGTAGAGATGTATGATATGGCTATGAAGCTCAATTCATCTTACCACATCTCGAACGCTAATGTTCGCGCACCACAGAACTCCTACAAAGTGCCAGATATGAGGTATGGGTTCACATGGGTTCTCAATCGTAGAACAGCTATTCAACCATGTGAAAATGTACATGAAGCTGAAGTTTTTGAGACTAAAAGGGTCTCCAGATTCAGTGACCTATATCAGCACATGAAGACTGGGCGGCACATATGTAAGCAACATTGCCTGTACACACAAATATCACGCACTCACTTTATACAAGCTGAAATATATATTACTGGCTCCGTCCCAAATTGTTCTGCAATGTCAACATTTATTGGTCAACTACAAATAAAAGTCAATGCTCCCTAACAATAATTAATTCAATTTTTAATAATTAAAATTTATATATTCATAAACTACATTAAAATCTCTTCAAAGTTATAAACTTCAAATTATAATATAATTAAAACCTGACATCCTAATTAAAAAAATAAAATGAAATTGTTTGACCAAGAAAAGACAATTTTGCAAATCAATTTGGAATGGAGGTAGTACAACTTACAAGGTTAAAATTCCTTACTTTACGTATTATTAAAAAATTGTATACTGAAGTCTATTTATATCATTGTTAATATTGTAGCAATGGTTGTTGTTGTAATTGATAAACTTCCAAGAGAAACCCAGTCGACTACAAATGGTGTCCGGTCTATCAAGGATTTCATTGTGGTTGATGAACTGTAAGTAGGACCTATGATTAATCTTATTATATTGTTGAAGTTATTTGCAACATCATGCACTCATACAAGTCCATCACAATTCCAACAGGCTGAAACCAGTGCAATTCACACTTTGGGATGAGTTGGCGCTAACTAAGGGAGTTGAAATCTTTGAGGAACTAACTGCAAAAAAGTATCCTATAGTGAGCCTAGAAGACATTAAGGCTACCGACTTCAAAGGTACTATTATAACCCTATAACGTATATTACATATTTACAACAAGTACTAATTTTGCTCTTAATACATAGGGATATCTTTGACTTCAATGTCTCATTCAACAATCACTCTCAATTCCGATTTGCCTCGTGTTGCAGAATTGGAGAAATGGTAATGTCTACCTTCTGTAATTATATGGTAATCATATAAGGTCCTAAGTGTTCTTTAATTTGGTGCTTTTTACTGGTCATCATTATGGATCTCTATGAAAATTGTTCTCGAGATCCTACTCACGTTGAATATACATTAAATACAATATGGATGCTAATTACATTGTTTAATTTGCAGAATCTTCCTCTATTGATTCTTTTTACATACATAAAGCCCACTTCCAAAGTCTTTTCATTCTACATACTCAGAACCATTCTTGGTTCAATGACCTGCCAAACTATGATAATTTATTTACTTATGAATGTATATAATCCTTAGGATAAGAAACTAATAAGCTCATAAATTAGGACAGTGAATAAGTTATAGTCTCATGATTAGTATTCACTAATACCAAAATATTTTTCACTACAAAAATAATAATTTCTTTGACTCAATAAACTAGGTCACACTGTTTTTTTATCCAGTTTTGGTTCTTTCACGGATTTTTAGAACTTAACGTCTTTGTATTGTCAGACAGCCTCAATGAGATATAAACACATTCTGTCTCACATGCAATGAAAGATATGGGAATGTTTGTGTTTGATTGTTATTAGGAAAAGTGATTTAATTGAGAGATTAAACGAAGTGATTAGTAATAAAGTTGGTGATGAGAGAAAATAAAGTGATTTTAGGATAATATTACAAGTTAATGTTTGATGATAAATACATTTTTATATGTAATCCAAAAAGTGAATATGAGATGAAAACTGTTTCAAAAATATAAAAAAATTTAGAAAAAATGTTTTGTTGTTAAATTCTTCGAATAAATTGATGAGCGTGAATATGCACACCATTCTTTCCCCTTTTAACGTTACATGAATTACTTGTATCTACATATATGCTTATATCATGTGAGTGATTACGATCAACCTACGTGTAGGGCTATTGACCACAAATCCACCCTCGATGCTGTGAAGGCTGGCCGCAAGTTCTTGGATGCTGGCTTCCACCTAGCAAATCCTGACAACGAAACAATCACCCCAATAGCTAAAGTCCCTGCTATCATTCCTCAAGTATGTTGCTATTACATACTATATTCCTCCCAATGCCTATATAACATGTTTTTCCTAATAACCATTTACATTGTAAAAAACATTGACGACGTATGCAATAAATCACCAAAGAATTTATGTAACCCATGATATAAATTACTTCAAATCCATTACATTACTATGTCTTATCCATTCTAATTTGTGTAATCCATAAACACTCACAGGGAAGGCCTATTTGGATCAAAGGCACAATCACTTTGGTTTTAGAAAACTATAGCCTCTGGTATGTTGCTTGTAGCCATTGTGCCAAAATAAAACATGCTGGTTGTAACGCAATATTTCACTGCATGAGTTGCGGTCAAGAAAATGCTTATGGCGTTCCAAGGCAAGTACGCCACTTGTATTACACCATACAACATAAGTATACATCATTTTCCTCAAAAAATTCATATTATAACCTTCGCGCAGGGCCAAATTACATGTCACAATTGAAGATGATACAGGATCTGTCAGTGGAATAATGTTTGGCTTGTGCGCTGAAAAGTTATTGCTTATGACAAGCAAGCAAGTCATGGAAATAGAATCACAGGTAACATCATCCACAATACCGCCCAATTAATTTATCGTTTAATGAAACCAAATATATTTGTTTCTTGAATTTGTTTTTTTTTTCATTTGTTTACTATTGCAAAAAACATTAACTACATTGTAAAATTAATTAAAAATGTCACCCAAAGGTTTATTCGCCAACTCTATGCCATAGATTGCTTAACAAATTCATCAACTGAAGCATAATCTCTTATGGAATTTGGGTCCTGTAGAAATATGAATAGTATACACATTGTCATTTGTCAATGTCTAATTTTCTACTACATTTAAATTCTATATGAAACCACTCATTGAAATTCTTTTGTACTTGGTAGGGGAAAAAAGCTTCATTCCCATACATAAACAAGCGCCTTGCTAAGGAAGAGTACATAGTCCAGTTGAGGTCTTCACCAGACAATTGGAGTTCAAAAAACAACTATCCGCGTACTTCAAAGACATCTTATATCATAACATCTTTGCACGAGTCATCGTTGCACATAATAAAGATGGATGAAGCAAATGCTGCCGATCACACTGCACCCTGTGAAAGCACAAGCACTTCAAGTCCTCCAATGAAACGCATCAAAACAGTGTGACGGAGAATACACAACCATCCAAACCATTCCACTACTCACCAAACTGTGTCATTACATTCAAATACTTTCATTTTTTGCAGTACTATGTTCCATTTTTATTTTTGAATGTTATCGCTTCTGCAACCATAAACATATTTTCCCATGATACACTACTAAGCTTGTTTCCATGATACAATATTATGTCTATTTCTTCTCATTTTAATAAATTACACACTAATAATGCAATCATGAAATTTTCATTATACTATTTGGGAGTTCTATTTCAATGTTATTTCAAAAGGGAATGCATGTTATACACACACTGCCACACAAACATGATCATTTTCCCCTAGCATATATCCCAAACACCCCTTCTTACACATTGGCCATTATCCCCATTACAAAAACACATTGGGCACAATCTCCATCGCGCATCGCGCGTTGCGAAAACTAGTTTCAAAATACGAGTGAATGATCGGGTCTTATATTGCAAATGAAATAATGATGGTCCTATTTGTTAACTTTGTCATTAATTTTGTATGACCCCCCACTTGGTATGACCCCACATATTGGGGTAATTTTGGAGGATCTAGCTCTAGGGGAGATGGACATGGTGGTAGTGGCTATAGTGGAGCTAGCGGCAATTTTGGAGGACGCTATGGTGGAGCTAGCGGCGATTTTGGAGGAGGCTATGATGGAAGTTATGACAGCGATGAACACTAGGGACAGTGTTCCAACTAGAGCTATTAAAACGCAGAAGAAATTTTTATGTAATCATCAAAAGTTTCAAAATAATAAAACAAGTATGTAAATAATAAGAAGTTTCAGAATCATGTGTGTGTCTATCACAAAGTTTTATTAATATGTAATTATATGTATTAACCGTTGCAATTTAAAAAGAATTAATATTAGCTATGTTGATTACTTTGGTCAAATTGAGAATAGAGTACAAATTAATATTTATTACATACGGAGTAATAAAGAAGGAATAAATCATAATTGCTGAAGCAAAAACCTATGCAAAACACCACACCAAAAACATTTTTTTCATACTTTTCTAGGACCCAAAATAATACCAACAATTTTCTATATGCAAATGTAAGGCTTAGCAATATGATGCAGATGACAACTCTCCACATCTTTATAATTGAAGATAGTAGCAATTAATTAATAAATAAATAAAAACACACTGACATACACACAGCTGTCCCTCAAGAACTGATCACAAAATAACCCAAGTACATTCCCAAAAATACCCTCAGCATCCAACCGCCGACAATCACAGAGCCCCCATTCTTGTCGCTGGCCGTATCATCCGCCGCGTCATCGTCGTCCGAGCTCGGCCCCGGCGAGTCCGCCCCGTCCTCACCGGCGCCAGGTTTGCTTCCTCCGGCGCTCTTCTTCTTCTTCGTCGCCGCCTTGGGCGCCGGAGCTTCCTCAACCGCCTTGAAAAGCTTCCTCGGCTGCAGAACTTTGTCCAATTTGAACACGGCCAACGGCTCCTCGTCGTACATGGTCCCGGTGACCGTCGCAACCACCACATCGGTGTTCAGCTTCACGGTGTCGCCGTCATTCTTGACGGTGAAATCGTACTTATTGGACCCTTCAGTGGCCAGAGTGTTCATAACCCCATTGCTGGATTTCAGCATCTCCAGAGAGTGGTAGATCGGGACGCCATTGTTGGGAATGCTTAGCAAGAATAATACATCTGCAGCTTTCAAATGTAGTAATTTGCTTAGGAAGAACAAAGAAAAAACGTAGCTTCGTTTGGTGCTCAAAAGCATTAATTTTCATTAAAGTAAAACAAGCTTAAATAGCCTTTTTGAACACACACGTACGTATGCACTTTGCATACTTCACACGTCCTAGTATGCCGCATACACAAGCACGCACTAACTCCACTAACTCCCACTAACTCCACTAAGTACAATACGTAAGACTAAACGTACGTACAAAGAGTTACATGCATGCGTAAACTAATTAATAACATAATAATACTAAATGCAACTAACTGACCCAAATTAGACTAACACTAATGCAACGACACACACGCACTTCAGTGCCGCTACAACATATGCACGGTGCCACGCGACACACACAACTTGGCATGACTCATCCCGCCGTGCACGAACACTCTAGTCTAAAATGCATCAATGACTCAAAATAAACTAAATTAAACATACTGAAATTATAACAACAAGATTAACTCCAACAATCACCCCCTTAATCTTGTTGTCATTTATTTAGAACTCCTCGTGGACCATCACAGCAGTGCCGGCTCGTAGTCGGCGGTCGCGAAGGCGAGATGTGCCTGCTCCTTCCTTGGTGCTGTGCAATCCTTGGAGAAATGCCCATACTCCTGACAGTTGTAGCATCGTACCTTACGGATATCGAATGTACTCTTCTTCTTGCCGGTGCCGCCGCGGTAACGAGAACGCCACTCCTCCTCTGTGAGTAGCAATTGACCTCCACCGCCATGGTCATTGTTGTCGACGCCGTCGTCCGCATCGCTCCTATCCTCAACTCGTAGTCGGCGGTCGCGAAGGCGAGATGTGCCTGCTCCTTCCTTGGTGCTGTGCAATCCTTGGAGAAATGCCCATACTCCTGACAGTTGTAGCATCGTACCTTACGGATATCGAATGTACTCTTCTTCTTGCCGGTGCCGCCGCGGTAACGAGAACGCCACTCCTCCTCTGTGAGTAGCAATTGACCTCCACCGCCATGGTCATTGTTGTCGACGCCGTCGTCCGCATCGCTCCTATCCTCCACCGTTTTGAGTCTTCCCACAAGCTCCTCCATGGACATGGTTTTAAGATCAAGAAGCTGTTCAATTGCAATAGCTACCTGGGTGTACTTGGATGGCACGATCCGAAGAAGTTTCTTCACGACCTTCACCTCCTCGAAGGTCTCACCGAGGGTGCGAATCTTGTTGGCGAGTCCGTTCATGCGCATGGCGAGGTCGTCGATCGTCTCACCGCTCCGCATGCGAACGGAATCAAATTCCTTGAGTAGAGTTTGTGCCTTGGCCTCACGGACACGCTCATCGCCCACACGCATAGTCTTGATGGCGTCCCATGCCTCCTTTGCCGTCGCCTTCACGGCAAGCGTGGAGAGCATCTCTGGTGGCACGGCTCGCAAAATTGCCGCTAGCGCCACCCTATCCTCGCTAAAGCTCCCGCCACCCTCGACAGCTTCCCACACGCCTTGAGCCTCCATGTTCACCTTCATGATGAGCGCCCACTCGAAATAGTTCGTCACCGTCAACGTCGGGTAGACAACGGTGCTGCTGGCCTGGTGGACGACACGCTGCTGTACCACCACCTCGCGGCCGCCTCGCCGCGACGGACTCCGCCCACGTCGTACCGGCGAGCGTGACGGAGTGCGTGAACTTTCGCCTACCATGTCTCTGATACCAAATGTTGGGATTGCTTAGACTTAAACTATATACTTTATACTCTTCATAGTAGAAGCATTTGCATGCATACGTACATAGGAGGGAAAAAAAAGAAACTCACGTAGCCCTTTTTTCTTTGTGCTTAAAGCCACTTAGTTTTTCATATAATAAAACAAACTCTCCGCATGCTTAAATAGCTAGCAGGCTAGCAGCACAACACACACCCACACGTACACTTTGCATCTAACCATCCACTAATTAATTTAACCACTAACAACTCCACTAATAGACCCACTCACCCACTAGCTACTTACAACACGTGTATAATTAATTACCAACTCATGCAAATAACTAATCTAATAATCTAGCACTAATAACAAGATTAGTTCCAACAGCCATGGTAATAGAGAAGCCATTGCTTATGCTCTTTCGTCAGATTCCTGTATTTGGGCATGAAAGCTTGGACGGCTTTGTCCTCCGGGCAGAACACCGTTAACCCGGCCGGAGCACTTGAAGAGAAAGATTCATCTACTCCGGCGCTTTTCAACAGATCCAGGAACGCCTTACACCCCTGTTTCCCCAGTATGTTCGTTACATTCACTTCGGAAGGTCCGACGGCGGGGGCCTCCGCCGCGTCGGAGATAATCGGGTTGGAGATCTGGAGGACGGAGATCTTGTACGGGTCATCGGCGATGGATTTGACGTAGGTGGAGGTGAAATGCCCGCCGTTGTCCTCCTGCGCGAATCCCACCTTGCCGCCCTTCAGGGTGGTGATGTTGACGAATCCGGCGGTGCCGGGGGCGTCGCCGGTGGACTGGTAGATGGTGGAGGTGAGGGTGGTCCCCTTGTTGAGCTGGTGGAGCTGCTTGGGGCCGAAGTAGTCGGCGAAGACGTGGAGGGAGAGGATGTTCTTGATGGTGGGGAGGGAGAAGTGCTTGTCGAGGAGAGAGCTCATGCCGGCGTTGTCGACGGCGCAGACGGTGATGGTCATGCGGCGGTTGATCTCGCCGGCGAGGTGGGTCACGGTGAGGTAGTGGTTGAAGGTGGAGAAATCGGGGTGCTTGGCGAGGATTTGAGTGATGTTGAAGGCATTTGCGGCGGAGGAGAGGAGGAAGACGGCGAGGATGAATAGTGAAAACGGTGCCGACAGAAGCCTCATGTTTGGGTGGCAATCTGAGAGAGCGATGGGGTGAGAGAGAGTAGAAGAGTGAGTATAGGAGCCAGCTAAGATTTCGTGGTCTTATACTAAAAACAAGAGCAATTATGTACCATTAACCACCGACTAGAACTCGATTAAAAGTTACAATCTTTTAATTTCATCTCTCTCATACTTCTCCTGTCTTTCCCATAACGTTCGGAAAACAATAGTACATACCCGCCCGCACGAAATTTGGAACAACCAAGGATCCAAATCTCTGGTGCGCACAGGTATAAGAGTTACTACTATTGAATCGATTGAGTCATCGTGATTTATTCCTTTACCATTCTATCAGATCGGGGTGTGGGGGCTCCTAGGTGAGAGATTTCACTTTTTGGAACAATGAAAAACAATGGTACCTAGGTGAGATAACCACACAAAATCCGAAGTAAGAAAATTGAAAAGTGTTTGTACAATTTTTGTTATTGAGACCTTCATACACACGTCTGTGAATGAGTTATTTTTTTGTGTAATATATTTTGTGTGTAGACATATTCACATACTCCTATAAAAAATAGTTTGTTCACATACATGTTTATAGGATGTGTACAAAAAAAATGTGTACCAGAAGCATGACTATTTTAATTAATGATTGGATATGCCAAATTCGTGATACACTCTCTTGTGACTTGTCTCCTTCATAGTCAATATTTTGTTTTTTACCTTCCAAATATACTCTTATCTTATGTCAAATTAAGTCAAATTTTGAGAACACGTTCTCATATGACAATCTTCTAGACTTTGTGGCTATCTTGAACAGGTCACACAATGAATACTCTATCTCATAGCTTAAGTGACTGTGTGAGAGTTAATCTCTTGTTCGGAACATGCTGGGTTTTGGTCAATCAATGGCAGTTCACCAAGGAGATGTGGTGAGAACCCGAGGACACATAAAATCACTCAAGTAGTGTACAAATTAATAGGTTGTTGGAAACTTAGCCGATTGTTCGAACGATTCAAATTTAGTTATCTCAAGAGTTTGTGGTGACTTTTGGGAGACTAGAATTAGTTTGACTGAAGTCCAGATCACCTAGTGTTAGCAAGAAATAAAAAGATCCTAAGAAGGGAAGTCATATATGCATGAATTTGATTAATAAAACGATAAAAAAAACAATAATTGGCGATTCAGACAAAGAATAACTAAAAATAGAGTACAGTTTTGTTTGTGAAAATCAATTTTGCACAAATGCGCACAACCCAATTCAAGTTACGTACTTGTTTTCATGTGTTTTGATTCCCATATCTGCTCTAATGTGCTTTACGTACATAGCATGCTAGCAGAACAACGACAACTGTAAAATATCAAACCCATAAAGATAGTAAGATACCATTAACCATAATTCAATTCGTTGTTGAGTAATGTAGTAGTGAAAAAGAAAAGGTGTACTTGATCGAGACCACGTGCAACTATACGTCTATACTATGTGAAGATTAAAGAATACGTTTGCAGTTTAAACTTAAAAAAAGCGTTTCTTAATCTAGTTTTTTCATTTATTAGCTAGGTTTGGAGGATTATTTATATTAAGAGTAAAAATGTAACATGAGTCTTGTTTATGGAATATAATAACACGGAGTCTTGTTTATTTATATTAAGAATAAAAATGTAACATGGAGTATTATATTGTTTATGGGTTGTTTAAGAACTTTGAAGATATTTTATTCCTATTTATGATATTTTGCCTTTATTTTATAAGATCAAACTCTTTTTATTGTACTTTCTAATCTATTATAGAATATGTTCTACGTTAAAATGACTGATATTAAAAAAAAATTATTTATTATATATTTCTCTCTCGGTGATGAGTGGTGGGCTAACATGATCCCATAAAATTGTGCCTCGTAAAACTTAACCTTTTTTCTTGATGATCCAGGTGTCAGTGCTTGCGCTCTCTTAATGCTGGAGTCTATTGACTACCCTCCAAAGCCTCTAGACAGTCAAATCCGGATCTGATCACAGTCAGCATTCGTCGGTATTGGTTCTACAGGATGAATCTTGCATGACTTCCTTTCAACTGAATCCAGAATGATCCTTCTACCATTCAGGGCTTCCTTTCAACTGAATCCAGGGGTCCCTCCCACCACGCAAAATCGAGCCTGAATTTCCATCCTCTCCCTTCTTAGCCGCTGAGGAACTTCGTGAAGGTAGGAAGAGGAAGAATCATTGAGAGCAAGACCCCCTCATCAAACTCTTTTTATTGTACTTTCTAATCTATTATAGAATACGAAGTATGTTTTATGTTAAAATTTACGGCTGATATTAAAAAAACTACTCCCTCTGTCCCAAATTGTTTTGCAAAGTCAACATTTTTTGGTTAACCAATAATAAAAGTCAAACCTTCTTATTGATAACTAATTCAATTTTTAATAATTAAAATTTACATATTCATAAACTACATTGAAATCTCTTCAAAGTTGTAAACTCCAAATTGGAATATAATTAAAAAATAACATCCCAATTAAGCGAACAAAACGAATCTGTTTGACCAAGAAAAGTCAAAGTTGCAACTCAATTTGGGACGGAGGTAGTATTTATTATATTTCTCTCTCTCTATGTGATTAATGGTGGGCTAACATGACCCTATAAAAGTGTGCCTCGTAAGAACTTAACTATTTCAAAGTTCATGTATTCATCACTTAGAGCCCGTTTGATAACATGAAATTTTTTTGTTTTGGCTGATTCTGCTGAAATTTATGAGGTTCTGGCTGAAGTGACTGTATTGCCTGATTCTGCTGATTTAAGAAAAAAATATTTTTAAAATATATTTTATTAATAAAATAAAGAAAAAAATATATGTAAAAATAGCTAAAATGGTCATCTATAGTAACTTCAGCCAATACAGCCACAAAAGTAACACCAACATTACTTTTTCTGCTTATTACACAATTCAGCGCGCGAAAATAAAATATATGTGTTTGGTGAAAAAGTTGGTTAATAAGTCTGATAAGTCGAAAAATAGTGTTTGCCAAACGACCTCTTAGTGTTTTGGACTCAACATGATTGAATTGCACGTCAAACTTAATAAGACTACTACAATGCTTTATTTACGGTAGTCCGTAAAAATTTTCAGTACAAATAACTTAAAAGTTAATAACCATAGTTAAGATATTACATTTGCCTAGGTTTACGAGTATTATTAATGAAATAGAGATCAATTACTTATAATGAATTTAAAAGAATCACAAAAATCTTTTATTACTCTTGGTCTTTGCCTTAAAAGAATCACAAGAATCTTTTATTACTCTTGGTCTTTGCCACTTTATTTAGCAATCTAGAATATTATAAACGTTAGGGTATTTTTGGTATATAAAATGTATTAGTGTAACACAAAGCAACATGCTCTTGTACATTGTACTCCCATCGTTGTACCATATATTTTTGCTCTTATTTTCCTCGGTTACGTCCGTTGAACTCCAACCCTTGTGTATTTAATATTTATCCGTCTCTCACGCAGCTTCCGTCTTAGAGCATCGAGTTTTCTTTCTCATTTAAAAGTTTCATTAAATTATGTTTAATTTGGAATCTTAAAATCGTTTTTGCAGTGCCCTTCATTGTCGTTTGAACTATCTCATTCTAAAATCACAATTGAAACGGAGGCATGATCCTGGATTGAAGTTTTGGAATTGACAGGGCAGAGGCATACCAGGCTTGATAACAATTAATGACAGAGCTGAATATTCATATATATTCATCGCCTAGAACCTGGTTCTATTAAGAAAGAGATTTCCCGGTGTGAGCTTCAATTCTTTCAGCTCGAGTGGAAATGTTGTATGTCGAAAGTTAAATGCTTTTTAAGAAAAATGCTTGTCTGAAATTCTGAATTTTCACATCATTTTTACTTCACTCATCCATTTTTATTTTGTCTCATTCATCGAGATGGTTAGGCTGATCAGAAGCTGTCCATTTATTATTTTGGACAGCAATACAAGTAAGAATTGCTGAAGAGAAAAGTCATACAGAATCAAGGAGCGGGGCAAATACTTCGGCAACCATTTCCTTCCCCACTACATACATATGTATAGAGTTGATGAAAAGAAACAATTCTTTAATTTTCTATCCAGAATGAGAAATGTGCATGATGCATCTTTTATTTTTTTATTTTTAATAATTAACAATGCATTTCAAACTAAGAGTATGACAAAGGTATTCAAATAAATGTTTTTGATTCTTCAGTGCAAAAAATACTTATGGGGCTAATTTTAAAGTGGGTTTTCAAATAATATTATTCAAATAGATCTCATGGATAAAATATGACTACATAATCACGTATTCATAGTGAGAACACTGTAATGGGCACTTGGGGATTATAAGACATTTGTGTGCATATAAGCCTATTTAATTAACTTGTTGCTTCCAGGGATAGTGAGGGTCCAGCCGTCCAGGGGAAAAGAATTGGTCTCCATTTAGCTTTGATTTACCAGCTCTCATCCCTTTTTTATGTGATCGTGGCAAGCTTGGTCTCCATTTAGCTTTGGTCTGGATAGTGAGCAGGAGCCAGGAGGAGATGGATACTAACTCATGAAGATCAATTAAAACCTTGGTAAGTCAATTAGACTAGCATATATAAAAACTTTTATTGATTCATTTTTGTTAAATGTGATTATATAGTTTACTACTTTAGGTATGTTGCTCTTTGATGCTTACTGCATTCTGTTAAATGTGTTAAATGTCAATTAGACTGCATTTTGTTAAAAAGATATTTATTTATTGTGTCATTAAAAATGCACATAAAAAGAAATAAAATGCGCACAAGGTGTTTGATAATATGTCAAGCTTATTTCGTTGTTTCTGTCTTCACATGCTGTTTTAGCTAACGCCCATCAATCTTTATTTTTCTTACAGTCTGATTTCTACTTAGCTTAGAATGGTCCCCATTATTTTTTAATAAATTTAGCTTCAGATTTTTCCAACATCTATGAAACAACGTAAACCATTTACAAAAATATGATTTCAATATGTTTTCCTTAAAGGCTATCCCTCATTTTCATTTCATTTACCTCAGTGCCGCAAAG